AAAAAACTCTGTATTCCCGATTCCCACGTATCATCATTTTTTAAGTTTATATTTCTGAGCCGTCATAAAAGACCAGTTTTGAGCAATCAATAAATTCATGATTACCGCAGTTGTTTTCACATTACTCAGGGTAAATTTCTCACGACTTTTTTAAATTGCTTTCAACTTGGTTGTGCTAATTTGGATAACTATTAAAACTTTGCTCGGTTCGACCGTTCGGAAAGCGAGTTGCAACGACTGGAGGTAGAGGTAGGGAGGTGAAGTTGGGGGTGAAGAGAAAGAAAAATAGTGGCTCCAAGTCTTAGGAGTCGTTACAGGCGGGCAGAATTACTGATTGCAAAGGAGCTTAGACACCGTTTGGAGGTAGGAATTGGAAACAGAGACGGAGTTTTTGGGGGTGAAGGTACGCCTATGAACTTTTCATGCTCAGCCTGCACCTTTTTGCTGGAGGGAAGTTAGCAGTCTTGAATGCGGCACTGAACCTGGGCGAAAATCCGTTGTAATGATTTTCACAAAAATGAATGCGTATTGCGAGGCTGAGCCGAGCTGAGTCGAGTTCTGGTAATTGCCCTAAATTTTTACATTTTATCAAATTGTCCCAAATTTCTCCAAGTTTTAGTGAAAACCGAAGTGACATTTCATTCAGTTAACGCTTCCATTTCTGACGCAACAGTAAACTAACTCGGATTAAATTTGAAACACAAATTTCAAGTTCGTTAAACATCTTTTGTACGTTTGCCTGCAACTCCAATTGATCTTAGATCGAATTCTGTATTAACCTTTAAAAGGTCTTTGTTAAAATAGTTCTTTTTTAGATTTTTGCACCAGCATTGTTTTGGTCCCTTTATTGAGGCTTTTTCAAAGCTTTTTTCGATTATAAATCGTGACTGCAATTTATATCAGCTTATATCACCATTTTAAAACATGTCACCCTGTTTTACCACATTTGCCACTTCGCAAATCTCAGTCCTTGCAATTCATTTGATAACTTAGCAAATGAGGTGCGGGTTTTTACAACAAATGTGAAATTATATCTTTTATACTTAATAAAACAAAGCTTGTCAAATTTTTGCCGATTTCTTTTGCATTTTTCCAATCATTACTGACTACTGTCACAGAGCGAACACAATATTGTCATCCACGACAATGAGTGATCAAACGGAACGTCAATTTGAAGAGAAGAGAAGCATCATTAGTGCTTCCTAAAAGAAAGTGTGTAAACATGGACAGATGACCCTCTCGTGGTCACTTGAGGACAGCAAGGACACTCCTCATTATTGATTTAGAAATTCGAGAGCAAAGGTCACCTTATGTGTAAATTCGCATATGTGTATAAATATCAAAATTTTCAGAATTTTTCGCACACATGGTTTGTCCGTAGCTCTCTATTCACACTGCAACAGCTAATTTATCTGCTGTTGTAAAGCACCTTTATTCCTTTAAAAAGTAAGGGTGCGGTAATGTACGCCATCCTTGTCCACGATAAAAGCCAAAGTTTTGTTTTGTTTTTTGGTTGAATCAAGTGCTTTCTATTTTTTGGGGCACAAATTCTCCTCCCTTTCGCTAATTTTCTTATGGGTTGAGTCAAGCTGACAGTCATAGCTAAAGACTGAAGATTCGATTCGGCCGATGGATCGGCATATCTCTGGAATTTATTCCCTTGTTTCGACTGTAGGTGGATACCGCCGGCTTATACCAGTTCAAGTTCAAATTTCCACAGCCTTAATGTGAAGCAAGCTTCAGATGTACTTCGCTGACAAATGGTTTCTATCGGCACGTGTTGGGCTACTTCTGAGCCTTCATTTTTTACAGGGGTCTTAACTTTTTTATTTTTGGCACCTCTCTGCACTTTTTCATCCTTCTTAAAAACGATGCTTTTTTATGCAGAATGGTTTTCACTTCTCGCCGTTTTTACTCCCTCAGTGAATCACCAACAAATAACTTCTTACGGTAGATTGTGTTATGAACAAGAGTTGTATGTATATGCCCAACATCTGCTTGTTATAAAATCAACAATGTAAGCTTTAAATCAGTGGTTTATAAAGTGCCAATTATCTATCAAAAACCTCGAGAAATTAAAGCAATGGCTCGATGAAGCTTTTATGACGTGAATTAAGTGTAAGCCGTTCTAAAATTACGGCTAATGCAGATTGTAGCTTTAATAGCATATGACATAGCAACTGTCATTGTGATTTCAAGAACTATTCTTGCATGTGCTAAGTTTGGTAAGAAGTGAAGGTATGTTGTTTTAAACACTTTAGTGTGATGTAATTGCGCTTAGTATTCAGCGTCTCAGTAAAATCTAGAGAGTCAAAAGAAGGTTAAGGAGGTGATTCCACACCGGAGTTTTTGAAAAAATTTAACCAGTTTTTATTTCATTTGCAGCGAAAAATGAGCTCCTGTATTCGCGATTCTGCTGCTGCCAGGATACTACACCGATGCCGTGCACTGCTTCATCTTCGGCCGGTCCTTCCGGATTTCCTTTTCCAGGCCTTTTTCCATCCGCCCTTTTGCTCACATTTCGCCTGATTTCCGAGCTCCGAGAGCGTCGCCCTGATTTTCGACATTCCGTGCGCATTTCTGCACTTTATTATTCACAGCGGCGCAATCTACTTACCGATCTTCTTGCTTCTTTTCTTTGTGGTCAGTTTTAAAATAATCTGAGTACTGGTCAGATCCAAATAGAATTTTAAAAATATGGAATTAAGTCCAAACAGAAATGTAAGACATGAAGACGTTGCAAAATTTCAGTTTTTAGATGTCAATTAATTGGTACCAGCAGCTGTATATTTCCAGTTTCAAATCGTAGAGCAGCAAGGCGATGTAGTGGCTCATGAGTGCCTGTTTTACTACTGCATGTTTGGCTCAGAATCGCACTTCTAATAAAAAAAAATCATCTCAATATTTTTGTCCAGTCTATTTTTTTAATTGTTTTTGTTAAAAACCTAAATGCATTCTTCTCGTAACAAATTCTTGTTATTTTTAAGTGTTCAAAACCACATCAGTTTATCTCTGTAGTGACGAATTTAGAGCCAAAATCATTGATCAACTAAGAGAGAAGGAGGAACTATCCTCGGATCAGTGGGAATGAACAATTTTATTAGAACTAGATGTTTTCATTATCAACTCACCGGACGAAAAATTTCTTATACAGCTTTCTTCTGAAAGATATAAACTTGTAACTTTCTCTTGGTCCGTTACGTATTCTACGAAAAGCAAGAGGACACTCACCGAGCAGTAACATTCCTCCTCAACAACAACTACCCGCTAGCGAGGTAAGCCAACTCTGCTAGCTATTTGCGGCCAGAATGAGGCAAACTTCTGGAACATGGATCCCCAGCAGCCAGGCCCGAACGGCCCACTTACGATACGAGCTCACTGAACAATGACAGTATCTTGGTACCGCTATACCATCATACAACTCCAAATTTCGAGCCTTGAATAAGTTATGGAACTAAGTTCCTTTTCTGCAACTTTTTCGTACTTAACAAAATTATAAGCAATTAATTCCTGTGGCTCAGTCATATTTCAAGAATTTCAGACGGCTCCTCACAAGATGTAACTATTCGAGAAGATTCCGCGCTAGGCATAAAAATTGAAAACCACAGTGAACTGCGTGTGGATTCGGCGAGCCAAGCGATGATGATGATCGATGAGATTGTCCGAGCCAGGCTAACAGGTTAGCACAAGGACAGTACAAGTTAGGTTGAGTCCAGTTTTTTTTTACCAAAATTATCGGTACTGTATGTCACCACCACCTGCTGGGCACAGCCATGCGAGGCTCCGTTTTATTGGGTTGCTTATCTCCACTTGCCGTACTTTGTAAATTCGATAAGCGGTAGAGCGTAAATACCAACTCAAGCCTCATGTGTTTTGGTACTGCGCCAGGCATGGACATTCACGACTCTGAGAATTTGAGTGGTACACGTCAGGGGACTACATGAAT